CTGACTCACGCTGATGCAGCATGTGTATCGGCATGTTGTCAGGGCAGTCACTGGATTCAGTTTCACAATGCAACATCATTGTGACACGTGCCACGAAAGGGAGCCATGTGAAGCTTCGGACTGCCATGTTGGCTGCCAACTAGCCACTGACTGCGATTCCCTCTGCAAACATTGTTCCAGCACAGCCAACACCAAGACAACTGAGACCATCCTTCTCGGATGTCCAAGCTTGCGCCTCCTTCTACTGAGAAGGCTACTCGGGCCGTTGCGCAACTTGCGCGCGATGCTGCCTTCGTGTTTTGGGCAGTCGCTGCACCGAGATGGTGGAGTGCGACTTGGAGCCCTCTACGCTTCCTCGTGGAAAAGGATGAGCGACGTTCGGCTTTTGCCAGGAAAAGGGCAGGAAGAGACCCTCCGTCTGAGATTCGACACGTCCGTGAAGCAGTCCGTGTAAAATGTCGACTAAGACAAAGGTCACGGTAGGCCTGTATTTTTCCTTAAAGGTGGTTTATACACTTATATATATATATATACATGTTTAACTATACTCTGAGGATCCTTGGCCTTGTGAATGTGTGACAGGTTCTGGCTTGCAGGTCACCGAACTCTCGCCGACCAAAGCAGATTTGTGGCAGATTGGAGAACACCATCAGGTGCACGAGAACACCATCAGCGCGCTGATCGTCGTGCATGTGCACGGGGAGACCTCATTCCGAGACACCGAGAACGCCACAGGCGCGGGTGACGAACCGAGAACTGCCCACCGTGAGAAGCGGACGTCGGGGACCGACCCATTTGGTGACCGGTGTTGGCACCACTGTGACCGGTGTTGGGAACATGGCCTTAGGACGTTTGGGGTTTAGATGCTCCTTTATTCTTGCAAGGTTTTGGCCACCTGTGGGTGCTGAAAGTAAGAACGGTGATGCAGAACTGAATAACTCTTGCTTCCCATGCGATGTCCCCATACCGGTTGTCGAAGTGGCCAATCGCCATTGGCCGATTCGGCAAGACCGAAGCCACTCAAGACCACAGCTCCTTCTCGTGCTTCGCCTCGCTTTTCGTGCTCCTCCGAGCTGCTTAGAGCTGGCTTTGTCCCCAAACGTCGCGTCCGGGACGTTTGGGCGTCTTTCGCGCGATCGAGACAGAGAAGAGAGGCTTCGAGTTGGTGGTGGCGGGCTCCTATGACCGGCGCCTGTCGGGACCGGAGATCGGACATGGCTGGAAGACTGAAGATTTGGATCATGGCCATGATGAGGTGGGTTCTTCAGGTGAGTGTTCATGTGGCCTTCCGAGTGTGATGGATGTTGAAAAACTCTTTGGAAATTCCAGACACTCAATGAGATGCAGCAGCGTGCAAGCAGATTCTTTCGCAAGCCTTGTCTTTGCTGCCACGCTCACATGGACCACATGGATGCCAGTGACTCTGAGGTCCTTTTGGCGGGTGACATTGACTTCGGATGGTGGGGAGGCTCAGATGTTGACCCGCATGGCCTGCCTGTGGCCTTAACACAAGCTGGCTCAACTGTTGTGTGGTTTGCGTTCAGGGTATCATGGGCCCTGGAGAAGACGATTCCAGAATTATTAGTCGACGAGAAGCCTTCTTTTCGAGCTAGCTCAACTAACGATGGGATTCCAGGTGGTTCTTTTTGAAATATCTAGTAAAGTGAAAGGCAAAGAAGACGTGATTTTGATTGAACTTCTTGAGCAATCTGAGATGATACTTGATGAGACTTCTGCTTGGATGGTGATGGGAGTTGGAACATCCAATCTTCGGCCTCCCCAAAAGGCGTCCAATGCGAAATGGTGCCGATGCCAAACAAAAGTCCCACGGAGCAAAGTCTGTTCATGTCTGTTCGACATGCATCACTTCGAACTCTCCAAAACATGAAGCTCCGTGGCCTTTGCATGCCTTTGTGGCTTTCTTCTTCTGGAGTCTACCTTTTCTTGGAGAGTCTTGCTTTGCCATGCTTTGCCTTGGGGCCTACAGGCACTGCCATGGCGAAGCTAGAGCGTTTTCATCAAGCTCATCCGGACCGGGTCGGGTTGCGAGGGAACTCAGGAACCTTGGAACCTTCCCTTCAGCAGAAAGAAAAACATGGGCCACCCGGGCAGCCCGTGTTCGACACATGTGCACCGAACATTTGAAACGATGCGAATCGTTCTTGAAAAGCCCGCCGACTGGATATCAGACACCCGGAGTTCGACCGATTCTTTTTCTCAGAGGACCAATGGACCGTCGCACAGGGCTCAGGTGATTAGGTTGATACGAATGATGCCGTGAAAAACTTCCCTCCAACATGGCGAGGTGGATGGCTTGGTCGGACGAGGGTTTTCCTCCTCGACTCTACTTGTTTCGTGCCCATCCACGAAACCTGACGCGTTTCCACGCGCCCCCGATGGGGTTTACGGCTCCGCCGTGGGAGCGGTGCACGAATCCACTACAAGCATTCTATGGCTCAGGGTTGTCTCGAATCATTCTACCACAGGTACAGAGTTTGGCAATTAGAAACCTTTGGGAATTGTGGGCGGTGATTGGAAGTTGTTCTCCAGGATGCCACTGATGAGATTCTCGCGCTCGGGCACAGTGCCTTCTCGGGCGCCATCTTCTCGGGCGGCAACGAGGGCGTTATCCGGTGCCTGGGGAGCAAATGGAGGGGCCGATGGGATGGGCGGGATGGAGAAAGGATCGCCCCCAAAAAATACACTGATGTATTAGAAAAGTGTTTGAAAGGGCAAATAGGAGAAAAAGTACTGATCATACCTGCCTGCACTTCTGACGTGGATGTGGAGTTTTCTTGCGAAATCGTTTTGTACATACGGAAACCCTCAATGGACGAAAGTGGCTTCATTGGTTACCGAAAGTGCCTTGCGGGAGCAATGAATGCGTATCATGGATGAGTCTCACTCCACAGTAGTCATAGATAGTCATAGCATCTTTTTCTGGGGCACTTTATTTGTTCTATTTTAGTTACTTTATGCATTAAGTTCAGTAAGGTTCGTCTTGTTCTTGTTCTCAGCAGAGCTCACTTTTTTCTCGAGTTTGAGCACGATTTGGTCTTAGGTCTGTTTGCCCATCTGTTTTAGTTTGTTTGTTGTTCTTTCTAACAGCAAGTTGCTAGGAGTCCTGGGAAGTGGTCGGCCTTAGTACTTTGGCAGATCCTTCTTTTGAGGTCAGATAGTTTTGCGCTTGATTCACTGCAAGGTGTGGCCTGTAGAGATCAATGAAGATTCCCATTCTTCTCCGGCCCAGTCAGAACAGACCTTCCCATTCTTCTCCGGCCCAGTCAGAACAGACCTATACGTCATGTAGGTATGCCTGACCGTAGGGATGCCTGACACGTGGACCTGTCACCTACTTCCCAGACTGACATTTTGCGTCTCCTTCCGGAACGCCCACCTTGAGCTGTTCCGTCCGCCTGTAGGCAATGGTCCTTGTGGGGCTCGACTCCGGAGGTGCCCCACCCGCTTCCCGCGCGTTTGCGCGGCCCCTGCAGTTTGCGTTCATTTGGGTCGGGTTTCCGGGTTCCTTCAGCCTGTAGGCCGACCATGATCACCATCCTGTTTTAAAGATTTTGCTGATTCATCGCATGATTCTAGTCTTGCTTCTGGGCGTGTTTGTGTACATGGGCGTCACAACCAGCTTTGGCATCTGGGCCCTTGAATGAGCTCCCTGATGGGACAGAGGTTTGTAGCCTTTACTTTTGGGGGATTTGATATATACAGCATATATATAAACACATTAACACATCTAATGTAGCTACAGCCACCAACCTTATTTCAGGGTGAAGTCAAAACAAAGGAGCAAAGATCAGGAGATTGTGGCAGCAGATCCCCTGCGTTTGGGCGTTTTTCCACCGTGCGCGTGGCAGCCTCTTTGAGGCCGAGTTCCGCGGGCACGAGGCCGGCTGAGAGGAACTCTTCCCTCTGAAAGAACTAGATGGACGTGGGAACATCACACCAAACCCTGAGAAGTTGCAATCTTTTCGGTTGCAAGCTTCAAGGTCCCATGCTCAGATATGGGGCGTTGATTGGACTGCAGTGCCTGCCCACGTCCAGCGTTAATTAGCAGGAGAACAAGTAGACCTTCCCAGAAAGCAGAAGTCACATTCATGCACCAGCCATCCAGTAGGAGACACCAAGTCGCACGAGTATGGAAGAATTTGAAACGCGATGGGACTGCATGTGCAAGTCCTCTTTATGAGTTGAATGCGTACCATCCCAGACACTCCATGGGACTGGAATAATTACACACATAGACCCCATGAACATGACCCATGGATGGTCTGTATACCATGTTCTCCAACTGGCCACTTTTGCCGCGAAAAAATCGTTCCATTCTGGGGAATTTAACAAAAGAACCTTCAAAGGCCTGAAGGCTAGTGTTTATACAGCACGTGCATATGAATTAAAGGAAAATCGAACAGATTGATCCATTCGTACCGCCAGCCGTTCTTGGCATTCAGATCGATCCACTCGGAATATCACAGAATCTCAGAGTCTATATATATATATATTGCTTTAAAAAAGGTCAGTCATCGGGACCGGTTGATCAATCTTGTGTGTGCGTTTCTTTTTTCTTCATTTTGTTAGAGTCACTACGCTGAAGAGAATGACTGCACGGCTGACACGGTGAGAACGCATTCCACCTTTGGAGGTCAACCAAGAGGCGGTTTGAACACAGGATCACTAGCTACAGCTGGATGCAGGATGCCATCACTTGCTTTGCAGCCGATGCGCACTTCCTCTTCTCGGGTCACCTGTCTGCAGAGGCAACAGGTCGACGGCCTGATGGCCTGACGTGGTATGTGAGTGTTGTCTTCCGTGGGAAGATTCACCTTTCCTACATGAATCATCCTTTGTAAGGGTTTTTTTCTGTGCGTTGGCTCCCTTGGGAAAGGTCTATACCGCATACCCGGCGAGCTACACTCATTTGACTGCTGACACCTCCGTGGGCGGTGACAGTTGAGGCTCGGCGGATTGCACGATCCGGATCTGGGAGTGCTCCCGCAAGGCACAGTTGAAGGCGACGACGTTTGTGAAACGTTTGGGAGACAGGCCGCTCAAGATGTATGTGGAGGGCGCCGCGTGTGTTGATTCGGCCCTTAATAATTAGTATTATATATGTGAAATCAATGATGACATGATTTCTCGTGCCACGAAACGGGCGACTTGACATCTTCCAGAGCTTTGGAGGATCCTCCCTATTCTGAGACCCTCAGCTTTTTGGACTTGGCAAGTATCGGATCCTCCTCCCCGCTCGCTGCCTGGCTCAACAGCTGAGAACTGGACACCCGGAAGCAAGCGCTACCGTGGTGCAGTCTCCAAGGGTTCATGGTTTGCGGTCTCCAGCAACAGACTCATGGCTCATAGGGTCTCCAAGGGTTCATGTTGGCCTCCAACCATATATCTATAGCCACCATTTGATGCTTTCAGGCTAATATATCACACGCATGCAAGCTTCACTTTCACAGATTGGAAGGCTTTTTCAAACCTGCTTCCGTTCTGAGCGGCAATGGATTGCAAAGATCCGAACTGTCGCTGCGGCTTTTCCTACAACGACACTGGTCGATGGTTAGAAGTGGGAGATCCAGGTCTTGGCTTCGCTGCGGTGGAGCATGAACCTGGGTGGGACTTTTTTGATCTGCAAGGCCCCAGCCACCTTGACGTGCTTCACGTGCGCCGTTCCTTTCCCATCCGCCTGGTGCGCCTTTATCGTCATTGGCCCAGTAGCGAAGTGTTACAAACGGCTTTGCATCCAGGGGGAGTGCAGCAGTTGCAGCTCAAAGTTCCGGAAAAGGCCAAACGACTTGCCCGCTGGATCATTGCTGTTTGCCCCTCCACCTTGGCCTTTCGCGGAACAAAGCGAGTCCCGCCCAGTATGCCACTGTCCGCAGCAGCTGCAGCTGTGGCTGCTGCTGTGTCCGAAGTAGAAGCCAACGACTTGGAAAGACGAGCCAAAGGAGCTGCGAGTGGCTCGTTGTCTGGATACTTGCGACAGAGCACTTCACCCTGCTCTTCCACGGCCTCTGGGGCTCCCACTTCCACTGCTGCAAGCACTCCTCGTTTGGGTGCCGTTGCGATTTTAACCCAGCTCTATGAGGAGCAGGTGTTGACAGCATTGAGAGCTGGCGAAAACAGTGGTGATGATGCTTTGGACGAAGCCATTGGGATTCGAGCTAGAATGCAGGAGATTGCTGCCTTGAAAGAAGACCTGGCACTCGAACGAGCTGCCAAAGACGTGGCGCAGGCTTCCGCTCGACAAGCGTCCCTGGAACTGGCGGAGCTGCGGGAGCAGTGCAGCGAGCTACAGCGCTTACTTCGGACCGCCGAACGCGACAAGATCGCCTCAGAGATGCAGCTGCGGCAGCTGAGCGCCGATCTCCAACATGCAAAGACCTTTGCATGGAGTGATGACGGTGAACGAAAGCCCCGAAACCTGGAGGAGGTTGTTTCCAGTGTTGTTGCCTTGGAAATCAAAGAGCTCCAAGGTGCAAGCAGCCCGGAAGAACGGGCTGTGGCAAAGCGCAAGCTTCTGCTTAGATGGCATCCAGACAAAAACTCCGGCAATGGAGCTGCCAATGATTTAGCCAAACGAATTATGCAAGAATTACAAATTCATGCAGACTGGGGCAGCCCTGGGTGATCGTATTTATCTCACATCACCTGTTGGGCTGTCCTCTTCCAGGGGTGCTGAACATGGGCACCCCTGCACCGTTCTGCACCGCTCTGATGCACTCTCCCCGATTCAGAAGACCCGGATCGAACGGTGCGCTCCGAAGCCAAAACTCCGGAGCTCTCGCGCGGACACCGAGTGGTCGGCGCAGATGTCAGTCAGCAGATGTTTGGCTCCTCGTGAGGTGGTGCGCTTGCATGAGGTCACGGTGCAGGCGAGGGAATCGTGTGTTCGGGTGAGAAGGGTGAGAAGACGAATGGGGATCCAGAAACTCGAATCATTTTCGAAATGGATGGCACAGAGTGACTATAGGTGACAGGCTCGTATATATTCTCAAAGGCTGGGAGGTCGCGGCCTGAAGTTTGGCATCCATTCGTCGTGCTTCTCGAATCGCCGGGGTTCAGTCCCCGTCTCAGTTTGGCCTTTCGGTTCGCGAAGTTCACCTGCTTAAGGAAAAGAAGCTTCTGGCCTTACTAGTAGCAAATAGCTACTAGTAGCTTCTTGCTCCTGTAGTAGTAAGGCCAGGAGCCCCTAGTAGCATGCTTGCTCCTAGTAGCGATGCCCTTTGCTCCTAGTAGCGTCTCAAAGGCTGAAAAAGAATCCAAGCCACGCTGTTGATCAAGGACTGCCGATTTTCTCGTTTACGCCTTTTACTTCACATGTGCACGTTAGCCGCGTGCCTCCTCCAGGCGTTACTGCTGCTGCCCGACTCGGGCGCCCTGGTGTCGCCTTCGGCTCAGTGAAACTGAACTGTGCGGCGTTGCGGAGCAAAGCCCACGTGGTGTGGGTCATTCTCTTTGACCCCTTCGGTGGCGCCAGTTGAAGTGATGGCCCACTGAGGTGTGCCGGTGGCAAAGTGTCCATTTGGCAAACAGGCGAAGAGGAGGCGCCCTGAGTGAGGACCGTATGTGAGGGTGCACAAGAATATGATGCCTTCACTGGTGGGTGACAGTAAATGCAAGCCTTTTTTGAGCCTTTTGAATGGGGATCCACACTGCCGTTTCAGGAGTTTCTTCCCTCAGCCATCCGAAATCGCTGTAGGTAAACTGGGCGATGCACCGATCCCTTTTTCTGATCATGGTGGCAGTGTGGTGTGGTAAAGGAGAAATGCATGAGGAATTCCTGTTCGCGGATCGAGCTGTTTTGGGTCAGAAGCAGGAGCATTTTCCATGTTGGGCCCAAATCGAGCCTCTTCCTCCCACTAAGCCTTTCAAAGTGTGAATACACAAAGTAGATCTCGTGATTTCTTTTCAGACATTGAACACATCTCCTTCAACACGTCCACGGCATTTTTGCTTTTCAAGTCAGAAGCCCCCCCCTGATAGTCAGCACAGATGCAACAACATTCCTGTCGACGTGTTTCTTTCTCTTCCCATCTGCCCGAATCTGCCCTGGGCGAAAAAGACAGATTTCTCTTTTTGTTCGGCCAACAAACCATCCACCTGGCATGGGCGGATGGCCACCACCAGGTCTCAGTGCTCCGGAGCTATGAGCAGCCGGAAGAGTTCCGGACGCTCCACGTGTTGGGGGTGCCCAGCGGAGACCAGCGAGAATCCATTGGACGCAGCAGAAACTGGATTGCTTTTGAATCTTCAAACACATCACTGAAATTTGACTACATTTTGTTGATAATTTCGTGTTTGTTTTTAATTCTTTCTGAAAGCATGAAGACACGCGGAACAGAACATTCATCCTTAGTCCCATTCAAGAAACGCACACATTTCAGGGGCCAAAAAACACAGATCCGCTTTCCGAGGCAAGCGGCCAGTCTTTTGGTGGGCTGTGAGCCGGCAACCCAGCGAAGCCCAGTGAAGTTCTGCACGCGACGGATCAAGTTCCCAGAAAAACCACTAAAGGAGATGGGGCAAAATTGTTGAATGCCTTCAATTCATAGTACCAAAGACTGGAGTGAGCCAAAGCATCACATAAAGATGGGGAAACATGACACCGAAGGCACTCGGGTGCCACTGAGTGCTTCTCTAAGGCCCACATTTCTCCAGTTCTTAAGAATCCCATGAGGCTTCTGCCGGTGGACCGACCGATGACTGAAGCATTGGAGCGACCCACGCGGAGGTGGGTCCGCCGGAAGAAGCAGCCTCTGAGGTCTGGGAAGATCATCTCCTTTCCACTTCCAGAGGAGCTGGGCATGACGACTGAAGAGGTTGCTTGCGGAGAGTAGCTCGTGGTTGTCCTGATGACCTCTGAAAAGAGGTTTTCTCAGAAAAAATATTGCAAGGATGCTATTGTGGAGAATGTCTTCTTTCGAAAGATAGCTTGATGTCGATTGGTTCGCTGCATGAACTGTTGGGTGACTCACCCGTTTTTTTGCAGGTGCCAAGTGGTTTGCGCACTCCGCAGACGCCGCGTGGTCCTGAGTGATGCAATCAGAAGAAAGTGGATCCACCTCCCAAACTGATCAAGACTCGGGTGGTGGAGAAAGTTTCCACAGCTTTAGCAGCTGGCTGGGCTCCAAGAGTTGTTCCACAGACTCCTGCAAACCATGGATTGCCAACCATGCATTGCTCGATCATTCGTGGAAGTAGGCTCAAACTGGATCCTGAAACCACTGGATCCTCAAATGGCAATGGTGCTTGCAGTGACTCGGTCGAAGGGCAGGGGTCGGCCCTGTTGTTTTTTGAGGATAGCAGAACAAAGACGCGCAAAACTTTGATCATCAGAAGAATAGACGATCAATATGTGGAAGTAAATATATAGGGTGGTTAAGGCTTTGAAGCGTGGCTGTGCTAAAATGTCAAGGTGATCAGACAGGAACAAGCAAACCATTCCGAAATAGCATGTGTACATACCATTTCTGCTTTTCAGAGAGAATGGTGCTAGAACCCCCTTGTAGTTCTCACAGTTCTCACATCTTGCTGTGCAGTTGGTCCTGGTGCAGTTCCTCCTCTGGGCTTCAGGAGAGGGTAGGATACCTGGACAAAACAAGAAACGACATGACCGCAGATCTTTTTTTTTGGGCTTGGGCTTGCGAAACCTCCAGAACTTGCGGGCGAAGCGTCTCTTTTTCGCTGACTTTACTCCATCAGTGCTATCTTAATTAAGTGGTGGGCAGATGTGGGCAGCAGGTCAACACCAGCAAGTCACTTCGCTGTGCGGGTTATCTTCTGGTGGGACTGTTGAGCTAGTAGTATCGACCAGTTAAAGTAGCATCTGGGAGGTGAAACACCAGGCTGAGCATAAGGGGTTCTAGCCCCTGAGCTATTCAGAACCACCTGCCATGTTAGCTAGATCGAACCGTGTTTCGGTCGCTCCGAGGTCCGAGGTCCGTTTCGTGCTCCCAGGACGCGGTGAGGACCTTCAGAACAGCGTGAGCTGTTCGGAGGCGAGAGGTGTTGAGGTGTTGGGGAGTGTGTTGGGGATATTTGGGGATCAGGTCTTCAGGATGCAGCAATGAGGTGCTTGGGTTTGAGCATGTTTTGAGCTGTTCCAGACGTTCCAGATCATGGTTTGAGGCCTTTTCAAGCTCAGAATGATGAGATTTCAATCTCAAGCGGAGTTGGGTTGGACACCTGAATTCCGTCTTTCGCCAGAGAGCGAGAGCTATTGGGGGGTTCTTACTTCAAGTATAGGAAGATGTGCCCGTGTGCGCTTTGGAGCCTGCGTGCTAGTGCAGCTTACAGGGTGCCGCTGCCTGATGTTATGGCCGTGTGTACTTTGGAGCTTGCGTGTCGGTGCCGCTATGCTGGCATAGCTTGTTCATGGTTGTTCCATCTTCGCATTAAACGTCTCAAGAGGAAATGCCTCAACGACACGAACGTCCAACGGGCGTTTGACCGACATGATCCGGATGTGGCTCAGTTCGACGGGTTCGTCGTTCGATCGCGAGGCGGAGGATGAGGGTCTCGAGATGCGACAACTTCGCGTCGACCGGTCCCGGTCCCGGTACACGGCACCGACCGGTGGCGTTTTGTGGGGTCGGCGCCATGGGCGCGAGAAACATGGAGGTGGGAGAAAAAGAACACGACTTTCATCCACTCTCATTGCAGATATTGCAGTTTGAACATACTTGGCCTCAAACCAAGAACATATTTGCTTGCCTGCTGGTTGAGTTGCATTCCTTTGACACCTACTGGCAGCTCGAGTGTGTTGCAAGGTCATGTTTTTTTCATTCAACCTACATCAACCTACTGGCAGACGACGAACATGGACCTTTACTTACAGGTTTCCCCCATCTCCAAATCATCAACATGGAATGGGATAGTCGGAAGAATCAATCCCTTTTTGTTGTTCCACCGTGATTGTGGTACTTTGGAGGAAGCATCCGGAGACTGCATCCTGTTCGCCCCCCCCCAGGTTGCTGCGTTTTGGGCGGGTCAACCGTTGGGGGGGAGACGGGCCATCGCTTGAGCGGCTTTCATGTGGAATTGACCATAACTGACCCATTCCTTCTGGCCCCATCGTTGGCTTGATGAGGTGAAGCGAACATTCTCGCCCAGCACGTGCGGCGAGTGTGAACCAGAAACCACGGAACAACGATGCGCCATGTACATTGAAAAGGATAATGGTCTGACCCTGTTCAAAGGGCGAGAATGTTCAAAACTTTTGGTTTGACCAAAGCTCTTGCTTGCACCTTTTGGGATCCTTTTAAGTGGGAGACCCCCTCTGCCTTGCCAGAATCTCTCCATCAGCCAAGTAGGGTTTGCTAGCTGCAGGATACCCCCCTTCCAACAAACATTGAAGTGAACAGCTCGGAGCCTGGCCATCCACACCATGTTTGCAGAAGTACGACGCTGACCAAAACACTGACATCCCTTTCATCAATCTCAAACTAACATCCCACCTTGGTTTGAACAACCTCCAACTGGGACTTGGCCGTTGGAATCCCTTCGTACCTCCCGGGTTTTTGGAGTACAGAGGCGCCACACGACCCCGTTTGGTGACGAACTGGACGCTTCGGTACCTCGGCGGATGAAGCATTTGAGACGGAACGGAAGCCGTTTGAAGAGGAACGAGAAGCTACGAACGGGGCTCCTGGCCTCGCGCTACGAACGGGGCTCCTGGCCGTACTACTAGTAACAAGAAGCTATTAGAAACAAGAAATAAATAGAAAGAATTAAAATATAACTATGTTTAAATAAGAATGGTTTGGGTCATCGAATAGCTCAAGCCGCAAGGCATCGATCGGGGCAAAGAAACCCTTCATGAGCGGAGGAACCCTTCGGGGCGAGTCCACATCCATTCATGAGGTACACAGTTTCTCAGGTTACACAGTTCACCTGAGCCTCCTAACAAGGGTGAATTTGGTCCTACCAATCTGCGTTTGTTCCATGGTTTTCCTAGCCCTTTTGGACGAGAGCCGGTTTTGAACAATGACACCAACAACACAATGACTTTCACGCAACCAACAAGAACTCCCGCTCCTTATCGTTCCTAGCCTGATCCCACGTGGACTGAGCATCTCTGGGTGGAGAGACTTGTACTCGGAAAAAAGAACGCCATGGTTCCATGGAGAAAGGCCACATCGAGGTGCAAGCTTCCACTTCGTTCTGGATCAATTTTTCCAGTTTTGGAGGCCTAGTAGCTCCTGACATCGCTGCTAGGAACAAGGACGCTACTAGTAGCTCCTTTTTTTCCACTTCCCAACTTGCTCTGAACCGAATCTTGGTTGTATGAGGTTCACCAACACCACCACTGGTGCTCATTGCACAGTCTTGTGCCTCAAGAATTGGTACACTAGAACCCTCTGATTCTGTGCACAGGCAAATCAAAATTGGTTCTCAGGATGTTTCTTCTGCTTTAACACGGCGATGCCGATGCTATGGTTTCGACCACAGTTTGACAATAGTATCCATGTGTTTCTCCTGCAATTCATTTTTGCACGGTGACCTTGGCTGATGCTGAGCAGTCTTCAATCTGGAGTGCATCCAAACCTCCCATTGACAGGTGCTTGGGCCCTAATCTAAGACTTCACTCCTTTAGTCTACTTCACTCACTTAGGACTTCCTGATGCTTACTTCTATAGTGTGTGTCCTCACCAAGTCATTTCCCGCCTCTAGGCGCGCTGTTGCCTTTGCAGCTCGGGTTTGGTGACCTGGTCCACGGATGGATGCCGAGCCTGTCAGGACGAGGCGCTTTCGAGATCGAGCCAGCTCATTCCCGGTGATGGGGTCGTTTGGTTTGGTGATACAGTGCCCGAGAAAACGTTCTCCTATTTTGGGATTGAAGTCTGAAGTAGATGAGGACGTTGATGGGAGCATACTTTGAAGATACGTGAAGACAATTCTATAACCACAGGGAAGTCGGCAGAGGTTCTGTGTCTAGTTCACCGCTCGCGTCTTCCGTGCGCCTTCACTTGTTCGCGTTCTTTCCTTTTTTGGCAGGTACAGAAGATTGCCAGCGTCAGCCCATTGTGCAAGACAGACAGTCCCAACTTCAAGGGGAGCTCAGCTTGTCAAAGCGAATGCCACACCCTGCTGATGGAGCCTGGAATTTTTGCCCAAGAAGAGGCTGACGAGCACGACGAGGTGTGGCAGCGGACACGAAACTGAAAGACATTGGTATCCGTATACAAACATGAAGTAAGCAGCCGAACAGCATGAAACACTTAGACTTAAAACCTATAAGAGCATGTGAAGTTTGAAACCTATCCTAAGTTGTTGTCCGCTGCAGCAAAGCCCTGAATTGCGTGAGGTTGCGCATGCACTTTAGTATGCATAAAGTCATGTATGGTGGGTGCAAGCTATGCTGGCTATGCTTGATACATGACATCATGTCATAGTGTTTGTTTGCAGCATTGAATCCTTTCAAGAATGTTCAAGGCTGGTCATGCTACATTTTGGAGCAAGCTTCCTTTGTCGCCCACCAATGAACCGGCACGCAAACACTCGGCTCAAAGACAGTTTTCAATCAAGCCCATACCAGGAAGATATAGATATAGGGTCTAATTGATGTAAGGGTTTTGCACCAAACTTGAAAACTTGATCGTGCAAGTTCACTGTGTCTTGCGCTGCGCAGGGACCTCCGTTATGGGTTTTCGGTCTGTCTGTGGAAACTCTGAGAGCCTGGATGCGAAATACCGAATAACTAATCAGGAATGGCATGGGCAAAATTAAGCTATTCCGTGCGACCCTGATTTCCAAACCAGGGTTTTGAAAGATGCTCAGGTGGTTGCAGATGAAGGTGACGACGAAGTTCTGGAGATGTCCCATGAATGGGGATTCGGCGGTACAACCGAAAATGCAAGAGCGGCAGCGTAGCTTGGTCGGCAAGCGGGGCCGCTGTTCTCCTTGCCGAGGCTATGTTGAGAAGACAACCAGTGTGTCTGAAGAGTGCAAAAAGACAAGTCCGAAATTCATGGGCAACAAGTATTGTGCCAAAGCGTGCCGATCAAATTTTCAAAGTAGCTGGTCTTGGGTTCAGGCGAACGCGAAGATCTTCTGAAGAGGGGCGCTTGTTGATGCGCAGAGAAACCCCGCTGGTGACTTGTCCAAGCTTCACCGTTCAGAAGCAACGGTGCAGTTGATCTCTTTCAGACCAAAAAGGATGTCCGAGGCCTTGCGGTCTTCGCCACACCGGTGGCACAAACGGACTCCCGGGACACAGCACGTCCGAGGTCAAGAGGACACGTCCGGAGGTCCAATGAGTTTCGATGTTGTCCGCCATACACGGCCAATGTAGGCTTAAATTTTGGTGCAGAAGCCATTGCCCAGTCGTCTTAGGCCATCAGCCGAAGAGGGCGAGCCACAGCCGGGCGCCTTAGAGACGAGACTAGGCGACGTTCAGTGTTCCACTGTGGGCAAATTGCAGGCGTTGGGCAGAGTTTCTAGTCGAAAGAGATTCCTTTTTTAGAGATGGACACGTCGCACCTTGCTATGGCAGATTTCAGATCCCAACTCGGGAGGCGATGACGATCGAAACCTGAGATCGGCGCGCGAAAAGGGTGCGCGGCTTTTGATCCACCTCAGCTCGGACCGTGCTGCAGCTGCAGCTCGGTGACCATCGCTCGTTCTGCAGGCGCTGAATCCTTGAGCACATTTTGTTGCACCATACTTCTTGGAACACGTAATAGCAACGAACATATGGTGTTCCTTGAGACCTCATGAGGGCTTGAGCACTGAACACTTGCGCGACAATGATATGATTTGGCCGTGAATAGAATCTGGAGCCCCATCATTAGGATGCACCGGGGTGGCATGGGTGCCTTCACCAAGAGCTTTAGGCAGCATAGGAGGCAGGCAGAAGGGGTTGATCAGAAGGCTGCACAGTTTGGGGCTCTGGTTTTGCTGTAAATTCACAACCAAAGGCGCTGGCAACTTTATATAAATTTAGAAGTTCACTATATATTTCTCCTCATTTGTCTATTTGACATGAGAAACCACGTAGACGTGATTGAGGCATGACCAAAGGACTACCATGTGTGAGAGTGAGAGTCTGTTGCCGGAGAGGTATCACCATGGTCGGTTTCAAATCTCTATTCGTCGGTTTCAATAGACTTTCGCAACCTGATTCATCGCGGACAAAGGAGGTTTAGGCCAACAAAGAATCAAAAGTGGCTAAGCAGTTGAGCACCTTGGGATAACCATATGAGTGTATATACGATGCGGGGGTGGTCAATCCCATGGCAGGGCTTTTGTGTTTTTCCTGTGCGGCTTTCTGTGGCACTGCCATGCCTCGCAGGCCGTGGCTCAAAACGGTGGGATCTTTTTCCCGTAGGTCGGCCAGGCGGCGAGTGCCACTGTCGGGAGCCTCTGAAATCAGTGGCCTTCTCTTCAAAGCCACTGGAAAACGCAATCAGCCTTCGAAGGCACTGGTACAAGCATGACTAAGCATGAGTAGGATGGGAGGAGGTTTCAAGAAAGACATCATTTTGGATCCTTTTGGCATCTTATGCATCCAAGACAGGTGAAAACAGGTGAAAACTGAACGCCGAATCGGACCTAAGGGTTCACGACAACTGTCGAGTGAAGACCAACATCCTGATGAAACTCTTGTGAAACGTCAGTTCTTGAAACAAGTGGTAACGTCAGTTCATCAGTTGAAACATGTTGAAACGGCAGGTGTTCGGTGTTCTGTTTGCCAGAACCGAACAGAACCCTCGACGTCACTGGTCGTCCTACCGTGTCCACTTTCGCTCGTTTGAGCTTGTGGACACATCCACCAACCCGGGTGGTCGGTGGGCCAGGTCATGAAGCTAAAACGTTTCCTCCTTAGATACTACCCGCCTGGCATCGTGGGGGCGCCCAGCGACGGCCGGTTTTGGGGTTCGCTGGTCGGTAGTTCTGGAGCGGGTCCCGGATCCCTGGCCGGTGTCGCGGTTTTCGCACCATTGGACATCGAGATCAGCTTGTGGAAAGGCTTTTTTGGAGACTTGGAGACTTCTAGATCCCCTCAGCATGTCGATCATTTTCCGGTGGGATCTTTCCATACAAACCTCTTTGGCAGATCAGGGAGCTATGAATTGTGCTAGCAACTACGCAATGGGCGACATGGTCCCAGGTCCAGCAAACAGGGGATTTCAGCCCATCCTCTTTCTACGAAAAGACACCAAAGTCAATAGCCAGTCAGTGGAAACCACGTGTTCATTTGGTCCGCCAAGTGGTTCCGACGCCACCGGGACCCTGTTTCGCTCGCTCTCCCGGGGGAACCCCGTGGACCCGTGTAGGGTCAACCGGCTCAGCACCGGTACGAAAGGACCGGTGGAACTGACCGGTTTCTTGGGCCAAGAGAAAGAACACAGACTCCGGAGGGCTTAGAACTCGTTGGTGTTCTTTTCACCCGAAAAGAGAACGGTCTGACCGTTTTGGGGGGGGCTTTTCAACTCTAGGTGTGTGACACTGTGTCAAAAAGATGGATCCCCTAAGACCCTACGATGAGAGGAAGCAATATTGCTATGACTTGTAGAACTCTTTCATTCGTCTGTCAAACTTCGATACCTGTCAAAGGGGCTTCTTTTTTTTTCAGATCTCCAAGACTCCTTGCTGTGTGCCATGTCAATTGTGGCCTTGGATGTTGCAATAATCAGTGTGCTCAGGTTTTGGAGTACCAGCGCAGAAATGGAGACTTAGATACTCGGACAGAAATGAAGAGATCAGGCTCAGTGCGTCTCATTTTTTGTGTGCTAGATGGTGCGGGGCCCGGAAGTGTGTAGTTTCCCGTCTCTCCAAGTTTTGCCGATTTGCTTTCATCGGTTTGCTTCTGAGGGATCCAGATCCCAGCTGTTTCAGGTCAGTTGCTGGAGGGAATCCCTGCACTGTGGGGGGTTCGGGTGCCGGATGGTGCCGGCCAACGATTTGGGGTTTCTTGCCAGTAGGCTGAACTCATTCTACCTACTTGGTATGGCTTCTACACTCTTGTATCACGTAACAAATGATGATTACAACGCAATAAGTTTCTGGGCGTCGAACGCAACCAATACCACAATACATACTTGGTGTCCTCATGTTCCATGAAGCCTTCCTTCAGCTCTATGAACATCACATCAACATCACACACCATGTCCGCAAGACCAGTGCCCTTCTCTTTAGCAGCACAGTGTATCCTTCACGTGGATTCGCTGTTTCTCGAACCCCATCTGGATGGGGGGGGCGCTCAGGTACCGTCAGGTCTCGCTCCCCGTCTCGCACTCCGGACGGACGACGGACTCGGACGAGGAGACCAAGTCCATTGACTTGCTCAATCTGACTCCGGAGACGGATGTGGAGGTGCAGGGGACATCCGTCGGAAAAACTGATTTTCTTCGCATCAAAGTGGGAGAATTGATGGAAGAGAAAGCCTCCCAAATGGAATGCCGACATAGAGTGACTTTCGGGGGAAATAGATCAGGTGGAAATAAACCCGGGGACACATGAGATGGTGGAGCTAGGGAGTTCGGAACTCCTCTTTTGACCTAGAGGTATGGTATGGAGGTCGATGTTGAATCCGATGAATCATTTGTCCTCAGCTCTTTCAATGGAGCCAGGGCCTGCTTTTCTTGGGACCAGTGATGCAAGGGAACACGTATGTGTCAGTCCATCATGCAGCCTCAGCCGGCCAGGTGCTCATTAACCAAATCGTGTTTGAAGAGCCCTTGATATCTGAGAACAAAAAGGACAGCGGACCAAACTGCATGTGGTTCTGGCGCATGAAGACTGAATTGTCGCTTCAGGTGCGCAAGTGTTGCTTCGGGAATGGTGAGTGGTGAGTGGTGAGCTTGGTCAATTTCTCTCTCGCAGGATACGCTACGGGGGATGATCTACAAGCTCATGGAGAAGATTGACAACAAGGTGCTGCTCGTGTTGATCTGCGCTGCTCCGGCGCACCTGGGTGGATGATGTCGCTGGGATCGGGCGGCGCCCCAAAGACCGAAAGGGATGGAGATGGATTGAAGACCAATGATTCATGAGTAACTTCTAGGGTGATGATGATGGATGGATGAAGACCCAACTTCTGCGGTGCATTTTTCCATATCGAAAACAAGAAAAGTGCATCGGATGCTCGAGCAGCTCGGCATTCAATTCAGAATTCTCCTTCACACCGATACGGTCAGGAGAGTTCCGCGGCAGTTTTCCGGTGGATCTCCTGGCGGGTTCGCAGGGTGAAATCGTGTCAAAGGCACACATGAATCTAAGGACTCATCAAGGGGCATTGGGCACCCATGTTTAGTTTTGACATGTTGTGAAAGGCACAAACACACACACTCATGGATATGCGTACTGACTTGACAGCGGTGCCACGCGCC